CATAAAGGGAAAATAAAGGAGAAAATCTCTTTTCAGAAGGGCAGTAAAATATAGCAGAAGAATACAGGAGGAGGGGGAAACAGGAAAGGAAGAGAGAAAAATATCTGGATATGGAGCCTGATATTTTTCAGGTATAGTCTGAAATGCTGCAGTCAGAATATAGTTCATCATTCAGATAAAACTAAAATGAACCCACAAACTTGTCGATCATAACGGAGTGTTTTAATAATATAAATTAAAAATTGAAGATGCTTATTCATCATCGTGTTAATTCTTTCCAAGATCTAGAGGAAGAGATTCCAGACTGTGAGCCAGAAAATTCTTTATCTCATTCATATAAACTATTTGATAGAAATGCTCTGAAATAAATCTGCCAAACTTTAGAAAAGAGGGGGGAAAGTATGCTTGGAACCACTGCTAAACATCTATGTCCTGTGGCTATATTGGGCCTGATTCTTCCATTTCCACTCATACTGGCTCTGATTAATTGCAGCGAAGACAGTGGGATAGCTTACGTAGTAATAAAATTTGAATGAATATAGGCAGGAGGTTGTAGTAATTTGTCTTAATGAATAATTTCAGATTGTTTGTTATCTACCTGAGCAATTCTAACATGGTCATTATTATGATGTGGGGACACAGAAGAATTCTACCTAAGAAAAGGCAGATTTTATTTTTGCCAGTTTTATTTCTATTAGTATATCATGATAATACAGTTTCTTCTGAACTAATTAGTAGTCCTTGCCAACTCTTTTCATTTTTCATGTGATAGTTCCCAAGTCTTTGCTCTTCCAGAGAACAGCTGGATGTAGCACCAAATCCTTGAATATACAGTTACTTGAATGATTTTATATACCTGTGAAGCTGTCAGTCTCATATAACTCTGATCTAGCAGGAAAGTCTGAAAGGAAATATCAGGCCTGTAGGAAGTAATAATAAACAGCAAATCTTGAAAAAAATAATCTGTGAGGAACATGTTAGACAGTGAATTATTAAATTGATTATTGGATACTGCCAGTACATTTTAAAAGTACTTCTCTTCCCTCCAGTATTTCAGCTTCCCATTTCCTATTATTTCATTCTTTTGGTCATATCACTAGTACCACAGCTCCAATGAAATTAATGTTACAGCAGCTGTAGGGCTCATGCGTGATGTTGCTGAACAGTTGCATGGGGCTTTGCAATTCCCTCTCTGGAATTACAGACCTTACTCCTCTGCTTTGGTTCTTGAGCAGCACATGCACCGATCACTCTTCTAAAGAATTTCCTCTTGCTCTTTCTTCTCATCGACGGTCATCTCTGTTTTGTCCTATACTATCCCTTGGCAAAAGTGACAGGCTAGCGAGCATAAAGAGAGGGCCATGAGAGAGTGAACAGCCTGGCCTCCAGCAACCAAAGGAAGTCCCAAGTACACTGCGTGCCAGTGGTTGGGAAAAGTACAACCAGACAGAGGGATCTCTTAAATACAAGCCAGGTTCCTCTGCTCTTCCCCACTTTTCTGCCACTGGCCGCTGCTGGAGGTAATACTCTGCTTGAGAGACCTTTGGTCTCTTGCAGCCTGGTTATTCTTATGCTAAAACTTTTATGTGTTTTGATTTTTATTCTTTTTTGTTTGTTTTGTTTTGTTTTTAGATAGGTAGATATATAAGGGATAGAAGGACCAGAAGAAAGTTCTCTTCACATTTCTGTAGTGCTCATTTTACAGTCTGTTCACCACCTAGAAGGAAGAAAGAAATGGAAGATGAAGAGAACCAATATTACGGCATCCCTGCATTTCTGAGGGTGATAATCCTGTCAGCCACCATCTCAGCCTCTTACACCTGTGTTCCCACTAATTTTGGGAGCATTTCCTGCAGCCTTGACTCATGGATGTCAGAACTAAAGAACTATGAGGAATGAGTTGGTAACTAGCAATGTCCTCACTTTTTCTAGGATCTTGAAAATTTTGTCCAAGTTTCCTGTAAGTTTCTCTAGAGCAAGCTTTGAGAAAACATTTTGCAGGTTCATTAGAGGAATCTGTGCTAAAAATCTGTTTGAGGGAGCTCCTTTCTGATTCTAAAAATCAAGTTGCAATCAAGCAGTTTTTTCTTATGTTATATTTATACTAGGAATTCTCAGAAATGCCAAGAAAGAATTATTGAAGCACTGTAGAAGCTGAAATTCCCTATAGTTTCATGCAAAAAACTTCTTAGTTCAGACCTCATGGCAGCATATTTTTTTCCATTCAGGTATTTATTCTGTGCGAATTAAATGGATGTAATGTTTACTGCTTTTTAGAATAAGGTTTTTTTGAGCATCTTGGGGAAACCTGAAGAACAGATTTACTTATTACAGAAGACAAATCTGACAAAATACTTGTGTTTATCCTTAAGTGTCTTAATTTTAGCCTATTTGTTTAAGGAAAGTACTCTTCTGTGAAGTTTGAACAGGAACATGCATGAATGTTTTACTAATGTAATTCCCAAGACTTAGATCCATTGCTATACTGTAAGGTTCTTTTAAAAAAGTGTTTAATTGTTTTTGTTTGTTTGTTTGTTTTTTTCCTTTCTTTCTCAGCATTCCAGCACTGCAATCTGCATTTTAAGAATGATCAAGTGCTTTAAGTATTTCGTAACTCCCTTTGGATTACATACTCTATTTAAAAGTTAAAGTATTCCTTGATGAAAAAGTATTTGCCTTTATCTGTTCATTGCTATTCTATGAATTGCTTCAGATGTTAAAAGCCTTTCTATTTTGGCTGTGGTTTGCTTATTTCTCAATGCTAAACTTTTTGTAGTTTGCACCATATGCCATGTAGGTACTATGCATTAAAATCAGGTGTGAATTTTGGCTTCTATTTGGAGTATTTTACAAGGAGAGAAATTTTACATACTAAAATGCTTTCTGTAGAACACAGCTTTAAGGAAAGAAAAAGAAAAAAGCTGAAGTAACTGAGTCTATACTTTACATCTCCTTGAAACGCATTCTCTTTAAAAAGGGTTTATGTAATTTTACATAATTATTTTGGCAGGAATGTTTATTGCTCCGCTGGGTGAAATTATTAGTGTACCTCTCAGGCTGCATTTTCAAAGTTCAGTAATACGTATATAAACCTCTTTGAGGGTCCTTGATATACACTATTTTTATTAGAGACCCTTGTTCCACTTCAGTAAAAGGATGACACAAGATGTTTACTTTAAAAAGAGTCTTTGATATCCTCCTGAGAATGTTTTGATAGAATGGCATACATTTGGTTATGGTTAGTAAGCCAAACAATTTGCCATTGTTATCTCACTGTGTTTGTCTAGAGCCTGTAAGGAGCTTTCAAAAATATCCATCTCCATGTTTCCGTTAATTAATTGCATGTTCAGCAGGATTATTCTGTTTTATAAAATTCCCTGTCCTTTTAGTTTTATCAGAGAGATTTTAAATTAAGGCATGTGGTATAAAGCAAAAGGAAAATATTGTCATGACTAAGCGTAAGGAAATACTACAGTTGTATAAAGGTTAATATTCCTGTGTGTGGGGAAAATAAAAAAAAAACATGTTCCTGCTACTTCTGGGTGCAAGATGTTGTACCCGACGGCTGAAAGTAATAGTTGCTGGTGTGAAAGTATTCACCAATAGCAATTGCAGATGAATGCTTTCGGAGTCAGCTGAAAGCTGAGTTAATCATATTTTAGCTTAATATTTAAACTTATAAGGTATAATAAACTTATAAGGTATAATAAATGGTGGTGACTTAATTTTATTCAAACTTTATTAGCAATGTGATTAAAGGACTCAAATCCTTATCTGACACCTTTGCTATATTGTAATTTGTTTGCTTTTTTACCATTTTATGTGTATTCTAGAATTTCACTTTTATACCTTAGCTGAAATACATCTTTCTCTGCTTGTTTGATAGTTACATGATTAAGCTGGCTCTAATATGTATCAGTGACCATGTCACAGAAGTTACCTGTGCACTTATTGCCCTTCAGAATCACTGCTGTGCCAGGTTTAGGCTTGATAGCAAGACCAGGTGATTCTATGCCTCTGTTATTCACCTTTTTTGTTTGCACTCTTATTGGATAAACCGTGGATCACAATTCCTGTAATTGTAGGTGAACTAGCAGCAGAGAAATGCAACACTTATGGTGCTGTTCCACTTGATAAACTTGCATTCTTGGGAATCTCCTGCATCCCTTCCCTGCTAGACTGGTAGGGTCATGCTGCTTTTATGAACTCTTGGTGGGAGTGGTCAGTACTGAACTGAATAATTCCCTTTAGAATTATATATTTAACAAAGCAATCCTTGAAAAGGCCTGCTAGGTTTCGGATGGGTGCACAGGAAGAAAAGGCTAAGAAAGAAATTCCTTCTGCGATGTGTGGCTGAAGAAGAGGTGGTAGATGGAGTGGTCTCTGCAGCTGCCGACTGCTCTCTCAGCAGGGTGGGGCCGGGCAGCCTAGCACAGAGCTCTCCTCTGTTGCTGTCCTGCCACTCCCTGCCCTGCCAGCAGCACTGCAGGTGATGCTCGGTGTCGTGATGCTTGTGAGTTGTGTTCATTGCTGGCACACAACTCACACCTTGGCCGACTGCGCACCTACCCTTCTGTGCGGTGAAATCACACTGATGTGGGAATCGAGAGTTTGGGGCCCCTTGGTGCACGTCAGCAACAAATTCACTGTTCTTCATCTCCCTGTCATCAGGGCTGAGCTATGTCAGTTCATGTTCTCTAAGAGCAGTTTGAATTCAGTTTAGCTGGTGATTAAGTTACTTTGTTGGAGTGAATTGGAAGCCAGTAGGAATGTTTGTTCAAAGGGTTAACTTAACCTTCCCCAAGGTTGTAACGAACGCTGGAATATCAAAAGCTCTTCCAAACTCTCAGAGTTAATAAATAAAAAAATAAATACTTGCTTTTACATTTTTAAGTCAATGTTTTCCCCCTGGAAAGAAAGTCTGTTTAAAGTACTTAAACTCATGGTACAAATGATTCATTTTTTCTCTAATCATAAACATTATTTGTCTGGCGTTTCAGTTCTTTAGATTTATGCACTAGCCATGTTTGTCAAAGTATTTGGCACCAGTGACATCATCTTTGTTGAAATGCCGGACAGCGTGATGAGTCCCAGATGTTGTTAACACACACCAAAAGCAGAGAAAGAATAAAATCCAAAGGTCAACGATAACAGCTATGGAGGTAAAGAAAAGTGTTTTTATTTTCTAAAATAAAATTCAAAGTAATTATTTCTATTTGTTTGAGGTTTGTTTTGCATAAATGATCACTCAGGGACTATGCTGAAAACTCTGCATATGCAGTGTAAGGGGGGACTGATATGTGAAGGTGGATGAATGCTGAATAAAGGATAATTTGACTTCATGATTGCCCTGTTTCCTTTCTTGTTTATTTTTTTTCCTGATCTTTTACATTTTGCATGTGTAGATTATAATATATGCAGAATATGTGTGCTGAGAATTAAATATGCTTCTTACTGAACTGCCAGGGTATAAAGTGTCTTTTGAATAATGGTCATGCATGGTTATGTCAGCACATCATGTTTTCTAATGTACTGTAACATGACATGCCCATGTAACCAAGAGTAGCATCATTTCCTAATGACATGTCATTTCTGTGAAATGTAAAAAGGATATGACTTACTGAGAAATAGGATTGGAAATGTGATTTTGTTTTAAAATAAAATCACTCTCTGCACAGTTTTTCTATTCCCAAAAGTAGTTTTTATGAAAGTGTGTTTTAGGTGCTTTGAGGGGAAAAAATCATAAAGGTACCTAGGTATGGTTTCATATTAACCGCATATCTACCCAAATGTTTAACGTTGCATACATATCATAAAGTAAACATTAACAAATAATATATCTGTCTCAAGTATCCTCAGCACTGCATTACACTGACTTGACTAATATTTTCAAGGAGAATCAGGCAGAGGTATTTTCTTATTCTCGTACCAACAATATATACTGTTTTTTGAGCATTTTACTTTCTGGATTGTGTTCAGTGCCATAGAGAATTCCCATATCCACAATTAAAAATTTAGCTCGGAAAATGAGTACCTAGTTGTTAAATTTGTTTTCTCAATTTACTTCAGTAGTTCTCCAGATCTCATAGGCTTAAGACAAATTGTCTTAAAGCCACAGAGAGGAAAAGAAAATTTAGACCTTTCATATTGGAGGATTGTATCCTATAAACATGAATATCAGTTGACTGTATATAACACTGCCTTCTATACAAAGGCTTCACATCAGAAAAAAAAAAATATATATATATAAATGTATCAAAATATAAGATGTTGTTTCAGCTCTTCTTAGGAGATTATTCTTCATTTGTTTAATTGAGGTGAAAATTTTGAAAGTAATTGGCATATTTAAGGGGAAAACATTAAGCTACAGTTATATATGCAAAAGTTCCAAAGAGTATTTGGAAAAGATTCCTGGGTCTGTAAATATGAGCATGTTTTTAAGTGAGAAAAAAAAATAAACTTAAACCATTCTCTCTGTTTATAGGACTGTGCTTAGTTTACATTCTCATGTTGATAGATGAAGAATGTTGGGTTTTGGTCAAGGGCTTATAAAGCTGTTGAACTTTACAGGTAAGATTTTCAGATACTCTTAACTTATAAAACCAACATACATGCAAGATTTTGCTAGCTTTCATTTTCAAAAGCACTTATGTTGTTTAGGGGTCTAATTCAGAGTTCTGAAAGCAGCTTGGATGCTAACTGACCTTCAAAGGGACATCTAAGCATTTATGGTCAGACATGGAATGTAAAAGGAGCCTAGTGGGTTTTTTTTTATAGTACTTCAGCACCTCAATCCCTTTGAAATCATTTTAAACATTTTCCTTCAATTTAAATAATGGGGCATGGATTTCTAAATCATATATGTACTTATGAAAATATTACCCATAATTTATTTATACCTTGTGACTACCCCAGGAAAAAAGTGTGTTGTGGATGTAGTCCTTTAGTGGAAAATGTTCTATGAATCTGGGTACAAATCCTAGTTTTTGTCACTAATGTGTCATTTTAGTCATTATTTCCTGAGAAGTATCATTAGAAATCTGGGTCATATAGGCTGTGCTTAAATCACATATCAGATGACCCAAATGTGTAAGGCAAGCTGGTGTAATTCAGCATCACTTGAAGCAATTTATTCCACTGAAGATCAGCTCCCTCGAAGTCCTGCATCTTTCTGAGTGGAATTTCTTCACCTTCTCAAGTCTTTTCTTACATCTCATATTAGTCAGGACCCCCTACCTTCCCGTCCCTGGCTTATCTGACTGGCTGGTGGTACTGATGCAATTACTGTCTCCGTATACAGTCTTTTATTAGTTTTAGGAACATAATAAATTCACCTGAAACACAAACATACCTGTTATAGACAGTATGTGGAAATACTGAAGGAGAAAGTTGTATGAAAAAAAAAACACAGAACTTTGCAAGGTTGAGGAAGATGTACCTGTTTGTTGAGTAAAGTTAGGATAATACAGTATATCTTTTCATGTAATAAATTGTCACACAATGTGATATATTTTTGTATAATTTAGTGTCAGTGTTATTTGCTGAACAATTAATGCATTTGCAAACAGAATAGTTAGCTTTGCCAGTTGTGATTTTTATTATTTTTTTTTAATTCTTCCATTCACTCTCATTCGATTTTCTTATGGCCATTCTTATGGCCAGAAAACTGTTGTGGTGCAAACTAAAAAATATGTAGTAATGTAATTAAAAGTCGTGTTCAGAGCTATTGATCACACACCTAACAGTTTCTCTCAGGGACATTATACTTGTACCAAAACTGTGCTATCAGACTCTCCTCTAACACAGCTTTAATGCAGTGGCTTTTCATTAGTTCTGTTCAAAATACACAGAAAAACATGTGCCAGAAGCCTTGCATGTGATGGGCAGCACAGACTTTGCAGCTGTCTGTGTAATTCTTAGAAAGGTGAAGAAGTGATAACTTGTGCTCTATACCACCCAAGACTTTTTTTTTTTTTTTTTTTTTTTTTTTTGGGGGGGGTGGGAAGGGAGCGGGTGTAAGGTCACCTTATATTTGTAGATCTTGGAAAATTGTAATGAATATTTATGATAGCAGCAAAAAATCAAGCAGCTGCAAATTGTTTACATTTTTGAGAATATGAAACCAGCTTCTACTGCAAAACAAATACATTTGTTTATAATTCTAAATCTGTTAGAATTGGATGAAAACTGAAAGCTCTTTGGTTCTGCTTTATCCTCTATGTACCTGATAGTCGGAAAACTGTCAGTATCACAATTTTTAAAACACTATTGTCAACTGTATAGCTAAAAGGTAAAGGCTGAACAAATTAATAATTCTAAAAATTGCACACAAAATACTTGCATCAATTAATTTGAAATAAATGCCATAAAGCTTTGTAAAGCTTCCAAGTTAGAGAATTGCAGTCCACCTAAAATGTTACCAGTTTATGCTTTTTCCCTGCCTTTAGGAAGTTTCTTCCATAGTAGAACAAACAGCTCAGATGAGCATATTTGAAAAAGTGCACATTAAAAATGTGCACAATATTGGCTTCAAATTTTTGTCAGATTTTTCTACTACAGAATCATGACTTACAATCTGCCACTGATTTAATAGCTAGCTTGAAAAATATATCACGAGAAATAGCACTATCTTTGCTTAGGCAGAAGTAATCAATTGTAAATTTTGGCACTGCTGGTAAGTTGGTATTTAGATTGCATTTATAGTATAAAAACATATAGATTTGTTCAAACTGGAGAAATAATAGGTGATTATTAGGTGAAATAATAGGCAAACTTTAGATGAGGCACACTATTTGACTAAAATGAATATCTTGCATGAAAGGGAAAGCTGTTTATCTGTTAGGATGATGATTTTCAAACTTTTCCTTGCCAACTACTGCCATCAGCAACAGTAGTGATAGCAGTCTCAGCCTAGAGCTGTACATGGGGTCACAAGTCACCATTGCAGACACTTGTGTATGACTTGTGGTATTTGGATTGCAACTTGGGAATGCCTGTGTTGGAGATCTTCATCCATTTAAATACAACTGCACTAATAAATGAAGGATCTGATTTAGAGACTACAGTTTCATTCTCTTTAGGTTTCATGTTTTCTGTATTTGGTTTCTCCAGTTCTTCCTATTGGTTAACTGCTACTTGTGTTTTCATTGAAATACTTTCGACTCATGAAGCATGTGGAATTTCAGGGTATCCCTGTGTCATGTTTTACAGATAATTCAAAGACCTCTATAGTCAGAGGTGCCCCTCCACTTTGCAAGAGGATCTCTTAACTACCATATAGTTTACTCTGCTCAGTAAACTGAACAATTATCTCCCTTTGAGTTTTTCCCTTCCTTTCCCCGTTCTCCTTTTTTCTTTCATTTTTTCCTTTTCTTCTTCTACTGCCCATTTTAACAGGCTGTCACAGACTATGCAGAGCAGCATTACATTACAATTCAGTAAAGCTTCTACAACCAGCATGCAAGACTTCATCAGAAGGCAAAATGCTAGTCTCAGAGGATAATAACTGAGATATTCTTTTAATAAGGACCATTTTTAAATGTTAAGGATGACTTGTTTTAATTGAAGGAGAGGAAAGGAACTCTTACCAAGAGTCAAAGAGCTCTCTGAAGTTTTCAAATTGTCTTGTATAGAAAAGCCTTAGAATCGAAATGAACAGAGGTTATGAACAACATCTGACCATCTCAAACTGTAAATTTCATTTGACCAGGTTATTCTCTTCTACAGTTGAAAATCTGGCCTTAGTTTAAATAAGATATGTGACCATCCTAGTAACTGCAGGCAAATCATGAGAGACTCATTTTACAGACCCAACTTCTGCTGCGTTTGTGTAACAGGGATGCAGAACAATTACCATTCAAACCATTCTTTTCAATCTACTGTACAATATCCACCTGTTCTGTCAGACAGCAGGAATGTATGCCACAAATACAGACTACTGCCGTGACAGCAGCAGGAGTATGGCAGCAACAACTAATCAAATCAGCTGAATCAGAGGTGTGACTCACATTGCACTTCTGTGCAATGAAAACGAGCAGAAAGGGAAGAGCCAAATGGTTGTAAATTTTTTTGTTGTTTTATTTCTTAAGAACTTGCTTTAAATTATAGCCAGTAGAGTGGTTAAGTACAAGGAAAAAGTAATGAGGAATTCAAAGAAAAATAACATTTCATCCTTACTGCAAAGGACAGGCAGAGAGAGATAGGTATAGGAGCCACCCATTGTAATCACTTTGAAAAAGCAAAGCATGGGTTTTGATTTTCCTAAAGAAGCAAATGCAAAAGAACTCTTGTCTGTACCATATGACTCATGATGCTTCTTTACTAGGCTTAAAGAGATTTGAACTTGAGTAATAGCACCATTAGAGCTCTTTACCAGGAGCCAATTCCTGTGGTTTCACTGGGTCCAGCTGCTGATGACTCACAGAGGAAGTGGCAGAGATTAGGTGCACAAGGAAAAAATCAGAACAGCTCAGAAATAAAGCAAATCAACCAAGCATTACCTTTTGTGCACGACAGAACAATGGCTTAACAACTAAGGTTCAAAATGATCCGTCTTATTCCCCTCATTTGTGCTATTCCTGTTGGAAAGACCACCAGGAAACATGCGAACCGCTGTGGAATACACACTGTAATCCATGGAACATCTCAATTAATATTCCTTCTTGACTACAGCTAGAACAATACATAGCATCAAGCAGTTTAATCTCCGGCAATAATGCCTTTTGTAAGATCAAGAGGTCTTTCCCTTGAATTCAGTTTTAAGCGAGGATTTTGAAAATTAGTTAGGTATTCTGCATAATGTATAGTGGTGGCTGCAGGTTCCATAAATAATAGCTAGGTAAAATGTATAGAAAAATGTTGCTTGTCATTAGTATGTTGCCATTAGTAATTTCTCCTTTTGCAAATTGACATTGGGTTCCCTTTAGAAGAGAGTTAATCCTCCAACATTCTTTGTTATGAACTAATATATCTGAGATTGTGTAAAATTTAAAACACTGCCTCTCATATTCAGCTTTGTACTATAAAGAAAATGCATCCCCAGCAGCAAAATGTTAAAATAGCAAATTTTAACATTTTAACATAAAAAGGGAGGATGGAGGGAAAGACATTCTGGATCTTGCTTAAATTACTAATTCACAGTGGTAGTGCTGCTGTTGTCTCATCTTACTACAGTGTTAGACAAAGAGATTAGGGAATGTTTGCTTCTAGGAAATTACAAATAGTTTAGTCTCAACTCCCTAGGGAGGAGTCCTATCCAAGTTGCTATAGATTAATAAAGCAAGTTATTGCAAAAACATAGGACTATTTTGACTAAATTAGACTATTTCTTTAAAGAATATATGAAAAGGATGATGTTCTAAGAGCATCCTAGGAAAAAAAAATATCGCAGATTTTGCCAGTCAGCAATTTATCCTTTTTAAAATGTAACTGAAATAGAATTTAATGTATGTTCCACTTTCTATTTCTCATAAGAATTTCAGAGGTAAGATCAGCTGGTGATTACACACAGAGATGCATTTTATAAACATTTGCTTTAGTGATTAATGTAAAATGATTTGCAACCCTCTCTT